AAAAAATAAAAAAAAAAAAAAAAAAAAAAACTTTTCAAAATATAAACCAAACTGTTAGACCTGCTATCTGAATGAAATTAGACTTTGAAGTGGGAACCGTCAAGGGTTCCATGTGTTGTGAAGTGTGTTGTGATGCTTCTAAAGATCGTGAGCAAGCATGAATAATAACAGCACCTCACAGTTATTGAACACACACTGTTCCAGGCACTGTGCAAATGCTTTAATAGATTCTCCCTCGTACTCTTCACAACCTGAGGAGGGAGTGTTAAGTTTTTCCTGCTTTTATACGTGAGGAAACAAGAGGCCTGAGAGAAGCTAAGTCACCTGCACAAAGTCACACTAGCTAGCAAGTGGGCGCCAGGAGTGCACATGGAGAGGTGGACTCCAGAACTAGCTCCAGGAAACCAGCAGGCTCTACTGCCCCCTTCTCTGGTTAGTGGGCACGTGGCCATATACACCGTCCTGTTGTGGCTGTTCTCGGAGATTCCCAATGGAGACGAGCCTGAGCTCATGCTGTGAGATTTTCCCTTAAGACTGTAGAGTGGTACCTTCACCTGTAGGCTTTGCTCTGCAGAAAGTGATGAGGATCAGCTTCAAAATCATAGTTTCTGCATCCACAGCTATATTTGAGGTACAGAAATTGTATGCACCACAGAACCAGGAGGCTACTCCAGCATCTCCCAAAACTGCTTCCCGTGGAGATGTATTTGACCATAGGCCCTTTTAAAAAACAAATCTATCCACCACAAACCACCTGTTAACCTCTAAAGGAAAACTTTAGATTTTGGAAAATTCTGTTCTAGACGTAAAATACTAGTTTGTTTGTTTATAGATTCAGCCTAAACATGATGCTGCAAATCTTGAGTGTTTTAGAACCTAGGCTGATCTCAATCAAAATTCTATTTGTGCCAAAGTTTCACCCCCGCACCTAACTTTTTATTGAAATATAACATACCCAAGGGTTTGGATCCCCATACCAGCCAACTGCCAAAAACAAACAAACAACAACAACAAAAAAACAGTTGAAATATACAGAAAAATGCACAAATTGTACAGCTTAATGTATGATCACATCTGCTCAGCATCCCAGAAGGTCTCCTGTATTAGTTTCCTAGAGCTCTAGTAACAAAGTACCACAAAATGGATGACTTAAAAACAAAAGAAATATATTGTCTCACAGTTTTGGAGGCTAGAAATCTGAAATCAAGGTGTCAGCAGGGCATGCTCCCTCTGAAGTCCATAGATGAATTCTTCCTTGCCTCCGCCTTAGCTTCCGTGGTTTGCCAGCAGTCTTTGGCCTTCCCTGGCTTACAGCTGCATCACTCCAGTCTCTGCCCTTGTCAGCACGTGGAGCTCTTTCTGTGTATCTCTATCTTCATGTAGCTGTCTTTTAAGCCACCAGTCACATTGGACTGGGCTCATCCTACTCCAGTATGACCTTATCTTAACTAATTACATTTATAATGACCCTATTTCCAAACGAGGTCACTTCCTGAGCTACTAGGAGTAAGGACTTACTTCAATATTTCTCTTTGGAGGAGGACACAATTCAACTCATAATATCTCCCTTGTTCCACGCCAATCAATACACCTTTATTCTCCGCAAAAGTAGCAAAGAGTATTTTTAATGAATAATATCAATCCCCTAAATCAGTGGTTGTGAGCAAGGGATTATGATGTACTCAATAACAGTCCTTCTGCCCTGCCTGGACACACACGTCGAATATTGGAATGTTGGCTTTTCCAG